CGCCCTATATCAATATAAGTAAGACATTTCTCCCATCTTTTAGTGATATTTTAACAGAGTCTGAAAAATAGTTTAGAAAAAAAAATGTGCCTCACTCATTTGTACAGGTTACCTAGTGTTTCTCAAGGAATAAAAAATGCATTTAACCTTAAGCCAAAAATAGACCGATCATTAAAGATAGATGATCATGTTCCCAATAAAACCAACCCTAGTGAATACATTCCGAAAGAATATATCATGGCAATTTGTCTTTTAAAACTAGATTTTCAAAGGGAAAACATTACTAAGACAATAAAAATAATTTTTCCGCCCTATAAAAAAGAAGACATGTGAAATTTTATTTTAACAAATTCCAAAAAAGACATAAAGTATTATGAGTTACTTTTGATAGCTACAAAATCCATCACGATTATTCATAAAGAAAAAAATGAAAATTTTTATAGCCAAATAAAAATTCACAAAATATTAACTACAACTATTTGAAGTTATTCTCTGTACACAACCAAAAGTTTTTCATAGATTATTATGGCCACGTATATAGTTATTTTGATTTCAAAGAAGCTTAGTATACTACTCAATTTTATAAAAATTATGAACATTCTTAGTTTATCTAATTCAATTGATAATGAGCAAATGATTTTTTAAAATGATTTTTTGAATGGTTTTATATCTCCAAACTAAAGAAAATATATACTGCCACCAGCAATTGCTAAGAGGTATGGATCTTTTTAAAGAAAAAGCCAATTTTAAGGATACCAAATAATCATTTGATTTCTTTTATGGGTAAAGTGCATTTTTTCTCCAAATATTTATTCAAAGAGTGCTGAATACTCTGTACTAATAAATGAAAAATTTTCTTCCTGACCTATTTTTTAGATGAGTAAAAATCTCTCTCCATTAATGATCTGTTGAAAAAAATACCTTACTTATTATTAACATAGGATGCTCAAAGCACTCTTTGAAAGAAAGTATAGGAAGATAAATACATATTAACACCAACTTAAATATATAAAAGGAGAGACTACTTTGACTCGACCTAATAGAAAGGGTAGAAACCATGTTAGAACTAAGGTCCCGTTTAGTGTGATGGAAGAATTTTTGATAAAATTAAAATTAAAATTAAAATCAAAATTGGAATTGAAATATAATTGAGTTATAAAAGTATGTTTAGTATGAAAATAGAATCTTAACATAATTTTAATAGGTGCATATATTGAAAATAGAAAAAAACCAGAGTACCCTCTACCCAAAATAAAAAAGACCTCCTCTATCCCTTTCATCATCCCTCTCATTTCTAATCATTAAACACCATGCAAAACCACTCCTCCTCATTTGTTGCACAAAATCAATTATGGCCATTAAACCCACCACAACCTTCTTTCATTATCACACAAAACTAGCATCAACCATTCAAATTAATTATGCCTCTAATATTTCACAAAGCCACTTCAAATTTTAATACTTTAACCTACTTGCTGTGCACGATAAATATCAAAGTAGTGGCTAAAAGAGACTGACAATAGAGATTGGAGATAAATCATTGTCTAGCACTTGATCCCACGGCAACCCATGACAAAAAAAAAAAATAGAAGAAGAAGAAGAAGACAAAAGAGAGGAGTTGGAGAGAAATCAAAACCTATCACCCATGAAATGCCTTGTTGATGGCATGGAAGAGATGAGGTGGTGGTGGGCAACAAAGGTGGAGGCAATAGTTGTGTATCGCACAACAATGGTTGCAAATCAATTGTAGAGTCTAACAACAATGGATCATAAGGTGCTTTCATCCTTTACCTTTGTCACCAACAAAGCAATGAAGTTGGAGAGCCAGTGTAGTTTGATAGCAGTTGATCAAAGAGTTGAAGGGTAAAAGAGAAATAAGGTTGAATTTTAAGGAGTCTAGCTCAATTCCATAGAAGTAAGAGGAGAATATAATTTTGTCTTTTTTCTTATAATCATAATTCTTGAAAACCCTAATTAATAGATACTAAACATCACTCTATCTGAATTCCTACCTCCAATTTCATTTTCATATTCAGGATTCTAGCCTACCAAACATGGCCTTATTATATTTGAAGTTTGAAACTTAAATATAAAAAATATATTTGCCTATCCTATTAGTCATTTGTATAATTGAATTCAGCAATGTGATTTTTTTTTCAATTTCTTATGAACTTAACGTTTCCAAGTACCAACTCATCATTGGTGCTTGCCACTCATCATTGGTGCCGTACGTTTAATAACTTACAAGGATGACGATGACGATTGCTAGCTTCGACATGCATGACATCGTAGAAAAAGAACACAATTAATTTAATAGAAAAATATATTTTTTGTTCCTGGTCAATGAAAACAATTAGACTCGGTCTTTCCCAGTCTGGCCGGTGAGAAAATAAAAAACTTATGATTTTATTTTCCGGAAAACATCGTCATTGGTGCCTATAATTTTATTTAATTTTATTTTTAATTCCTGTAATTTTTTTAATTTTCATAATTATTGTAATTTAATATTATTAAGGATTTGAGAAATAAAAATTACCTAATTTAATTTATTGAAATTATAGGAATTAAAAACACTGAAAAAATTATAAAGACTAAGTAAAGTCCAATAAAACTATAGGGACTAATAATTATATTTTTCTTACATTTATAAACTACATAAGCTTAATGCACCAACTCACCATTCGGCATTGGGTAATGACTAATGAAGATGATTATAATACGACAATGAACTTTGAACAAATTTCCATTCTAATATTTTATGCCATTGCTTTACATTTTAATATATATTATTGAGAATGAAACATTTTTTATTTAATTTAATTTTTGAATTCTTACGTGTCTTTTTATTCAATGCAATTGTGGATCTATGGAGATATATAAAATTTTGTTATATTTTTTTATTTAGGGCCTGTTTGGTTTTTATTTTCAAAAATAATTTTCATTTTAAAAATAAAAAATAAAAAATCTTATTTTGATAAATATTTTGAATAAAATTATTTCCAAATATGTTATCATTTTTTTTAAAAAAACAAAAAAAATTAAAATATCTTAAAGTTGTTTTCATTTTATTTTTCTTATTTTCAAAATACATAAAGATAATTATAATAAGATGCCAACATTAATCATCAGTGACCATCATTATTAGCCAATTTTTTAATTTTAAAACTGTTTTCAAATTAATGCAATTAAACATATTTTTTATTTTATTTTTAAAAATAATTTTAAAACTATATTAAAGAAAAAATGTAAAAATTAAAATTAAAAATAGAAATTAAACATCCCCTTAATTTTCTTACGTGATTTCTATTTTAGTTCTAATTCTAAATTTTAAATGTCATTTTTCCTTGTCTCCAACTCGCGGTAGATGTTTTGTCCTCTTGTTTTTTTTTTTTTTTTTTTTTGGGGAGGGGGTGGAAGATGGTATTGTTACTTAATCTCAACTTTTGGGCCCTATTAGCCCAACATAAGCACAAGCCCAATAAACTGGTGTAACATTATTTTATTAAAATGTCTTTATTTATCAGCAAAGGTTGGTCTAATTGATAAAAATTTAGCTAATAACTCATAAGGCTATATAATCAAATTCTGCTGCTAATATGAGTGCTTTATTGATGGGCAATTTATAAGTATCTTTGTAAACGGTCTTTGAGTCCGGAGGCATATCTTGAACCTTGGTCAATCTTTGGGACATAATTCACTTAACTTCCTTGTAACAAAATTTTATATATATATATATATATGTCCTTATTTGCCACCATGATGGGTGAATACTTCACATTTGTTGAAGGATGAAATTGTCAAAAAATTAATTAATGCTTTCTTGAAAACCAAAGTGACAATTTGTTTAAAAAAAAAGTAAAATCTGAAAGTGATGATAATTACTAGTATTCGAGAGCAGGGAATAGAGTACTATTATATCATCATGAAATCCCTTCCAAGCATTTTGTTTTTAAATATAGCTGCATCCAAGTTGCAATAGACATGGAATTTAAAATAAAAATAATATTTTGACTATTACTTTTATAAAAAAATAAATTTATCATTTTAAAAATCTTTAAAAGAACATAATTGCTTTTTAATTAGAAGGTATTTGTTTTTTGGTTCCCAATTGAATTGGGTGATTGCTTGAACTGGAGAATAATGAATAATATGAATATCCAAGTAAAATCTTTTAATTTCGACCATACTGTTCCGATTTGATAAACAGTACACTCGAGCTTTGCAATGTCTAATCTTCCTAAACCCTGTGCTTGAGAAGCAGTGGAGGCACAACGCACCACAATTTTTTAATCTTTACTGGACCTAAATCATGGTAACAATATTGACAAATTAAAAAAATTAAATTAAATTAAATTAAATTAAATTAAATACAAAATAAGAAATCAAGTTGTACCTTGTGTATTCCAAGTATATTTATCAAATTAATTATGAAGCGCCACAGTTCCCAAGATACATCCAATTGAACTCACCCAAAAATTAATTAAATAATTATCTAATCGATCTCGGCGCCCTTCCATATCTGTGTGCGTGCGTGTGTGTGTGTGTGTGTGTGTGTGTGTGTGTGTGTGTGTATCATTTTCCCTCGTTCTGCAATTACAGTGAGTTTAGTTTTTTAATTTAATAAAACCCAGTGCTTGAGAAGCAGACGAGGCGCAACGGACCCAATTAAACTTTTTACCTAGACATCCGTAAATCATAACAACGATGTGTTAAAACAAAAACTATAAATAAGTAATCAAAATATGCCTAGTTCCAATAATATTTATCATCAAATTAATCATGAAAAGAAAGCACGACGGTTCCCAAAATGCATCCAATTGAACTTATCCAAAACTCAAATTGCTGAGTATGATGCACTAAATAATTATCCAATCGATCCCGGTGCCATTACATGTCTCTCTGCGTGTGTATATTATATTCATGCATGCATATCATCTTCCTTGACAGGTTGATTCTACAATTTCAGTAAGTTTAATTTAATGTTAAGTGTGGAAGCATAAATGGAAGAGAAAACGATAAAGCATTACAGCTGCAAGCATAAGATACTGCTGGTGGGAGAGGGAGATTTCTCATTCTCACTGTGCTTGGCTAAGGCCTTCGGCTCTGCCTCTAACATGGTCGCCACATCCCTTGACTCTAAAGGTATATTATATATATATCCCTCTCATTAGTATCGTATTTTTAGATTCTTGAATAGTATTGAAATACTTATAAACCGGACAATTGCTGTGGATTATTTGTATCAGGTGAGTTGATCATGAACTACTACTCAAGAGACCTTGACAACTTGCTTGAGCTGGAGAAGCTGGGCTGCACCATTCTACACAATGTGGATGCACATACAATGAACAAACATCCTTCTCTAGGGGACCAGCTTTTTGATCGAATCGTCTTCAACTTTCCCCACGCCGGATTCCTCTATCGAGAGCACGATTCCGTGCAAATCGAGTAAATAATATATAATTCTTCAACCTTACAAATTCCCCTTATAAGTAGCTTCAGCCAATTAATTTATGGACTATTTATGCAATTCAGGCTGCACAGGCAGGTGGTGAGAGGGTTTATGAAGAGTAGTAGAGAAATGGTGAGTGAAGGTGGAGAAATTCACGTGACACACAAGACTTCACATTCGTTCTGTGCATGGAAAATAGAGGAGATAGCCGTGGAAGTTGGATTGTGTTTGACTAAGGAAGTGCCATTCTATAAATGGGATTATCAAGGTTACTCTAATAAGAAAGGTTCTGGAAGTAACTGCAATGATACCTTCCCTGTTGGACAGTGCAGCACTTTCATTTTCATCAAACACCACCCTTCTAGCTGCCTCCTCCAGGTTATTAACAAGAACCTGATCAGAATTTGAAATTTGAAAAGCTAATTACTATTTAATGTTTTCTTTTTGTTACAGGAGAAGACTGAGAATTATTGTCTGCAGACCCAGGATCTAGTCTCATCATGAATTTCCTAAGGTCTGATTACTGCAGAAAGTTTGTGTGCATGGCCCGTTAACTAGTTATAATAGTTAATGAATAAAAAATGTATTTTCCGGTTTTCGTTGTTGGCCTCAACAGTAGTTCAATTGACGTCTCAATGGAAGCAAGCGTTCAGAGGGATTACAACATTAATAGAACAAATCTACGGTGAATAATTGAGCGTGGTTATTCTTGCATTAATTTTTAAAATATATCAGTTTATATGGAAAAAAAAAAGTTCGTTATATTAATGTCAAAAAAATGAATCACAAACATTACCGTATAGTCACATGCAAAAAAGGTATATAGGAATGATTTCCATGTTGCTTTTGCCTGTTAATCATCTCGTGCATGATAATTTGTACGTTAGCATTGCTCTCACTAGCGCACATTTACACTCAGGCATATATATTACACAGGTGAAAAAGTTGTTGAAACCATCGACGAAATGGGTGGGTGATAATTAATAATCAAGTATAGAGTCAACATCAATCTTAATTTTTTCACCGTGGAAATTCTCAGCTTCATGTGAACACAAACACATTATCTAAAGTCTTATGTTACGATCTTTCATGTTTTGTAAATCTATCTTGATGCACCATATACAGTTGATTTTGTGAAGTTAACACTCCATTTATGGGTGGATGAGCTTTACAGCCATGTCCATGTGCCAATGATTCGATTCTCTTGGAAAAGCTATTTGATTGAATTGTCTTCAAGTAATTAAATATATACATCATCAGGCTGCTGGTTTCAATAATCAAATGGAGTTCACTTCCAGTCCTTTTATTTCATTGAACTTTAAATAAATGAAAATACCTTTCGGATTCCCAGAATAATCATCATTAGATTATAGTACTAGAGTGGAAATTAAACTTGAGATCCACAATATAGTTCCCAAAATAGTACATGCATATGAGATTAGACTTACAATATTTAGAAATTAGGGAGGGTCTTGGTTATATAAGCGAGTGCGCTGCACGTTAGCCTTGCTTCTTTGCATCATCAAGAGTTTCAACATTTGTTTGCTTATTAGCATCATCAAATTAATTGAGCATTCCGGCATTGACGAGAAAAGGAAGCGACGCAAATGACACAAGAGTTACCTGTTTCAGCTGTTCTTTAGCAGGAATTATGTCAGGAAAATTTGTTTACCTCTGCCTCTTTGCATCATCGAGAGATGCTTCATCAAGAGTTTCAACATTTGTCTGCTTATTTGCATCATCAAATTGATTGAGCACTCTAACATTGACCAGAAAAGGATGAGGAGGAAGCTGGTGTCGTGGATGAGGGTGAGGGTAAGCTTTGATGATCCGAGAACAAGAAGAGAAGCAACCAGCAGGACATCCAGAAATCTTGCCGGTGAGGTGGTCGGACGACAAAAATTCTCTTCTCGTAGGGATAGAGGTGGGGATTTTCTTTGAAAGCTCCCATCGCCAGAGAGTATGCTAGAGTGTATGAAGGGGGATAGTTGGAAATGAGGCGCCAAGCCACTAACGCTATTCTGTTTCTTTCTCTCCTTTGATAACAGACAAGAACTTTCTACTGTAAGTGGTAAGATCTAAACTATTCAGACTTTAATCTGAAAATCTAGATTGTCCATTTTAAAGTATTATTTTATTTTATATTTTTATTAAATAAAATAAAATAAAAATGTACTTCTTAATTGCTGAAAGGCTAATTAATTGCGGAAAAGCTAATTAACATTTAATGTTTTTCTTTTTGTTACAGGAGATGACTGAGAATTACTGTCTACAGATCCAGGATCTAGTCTCAGCATGAATGTCCTATGGTCTGATTATTGCAAAAAGTTTACTTGCACGGCCAACCCTTATGAAGATTTATATTTGTAGTCATGTACAAGACGGTTAACTAGTTATAACAGTTAATAAATAAAGAATGTATTTTCCATTTTTCATTGTTGGCCTTAACAGTAGTTCAATTGATATATCAATGGAAGCAAAGCGATATATATCACAGCATTAATAGAACAAATCTACGGTGAATAATTGAGCGTGGTTATTCTTGATTTCTTGTGCTAATTTGTAAAATATATCAGTTTAAATTTTATACTTATCATATCAAGTGAAAAAAAAAACTCCGTTATATTAATGTCAAATAAATAAAACACAAAAACATTACCGTATATAGTTGCATACAAAAAGGGTACTTTCTCTGTTCAAAATGTAAAACATTTTTATCTGAATCTTATCTTTTAATAAGGTAATTACTTATATTTAAATTAACTCTATCTTTTTATATTTACCTCTATTTAATAGGATATTTTACCTTAAAATAAATATAAAGTAATTCATTCAATAGGACATTTTTTAAAAAATAAAAAAAAATGATTACACCATAACTTAAAAAATTTAAAAATATTTTATATTTTTTAATATCTAACTTTTTAAAAAATGACTTATATTTTTTTAAATAGGGAGTATATAGGAATGATTTTCATGTTGCTTTTGCCTGTTTATCGTGCACCATAATGTGTACGTTAGCATTGCTCTAGCGCACGTTTACGAGCGCTCGTGTTACACTTGTGAAAAAGTTGTTGAACCATCGATGAAATGGGCGGATGATTATAATCAAGTACAAGGTCAATGTTGATCTTAATTTTTTTTTTTCCGCCGTGGAAATTGTCAGTTTCATTTGAACACAAACACATTATGTAAAGTCTTTATGTTACGATCTTTCATGTTTTGTAAATCTACCTTAATGGCACCAGATACCGTTGATTTTGTGAAGTTGACATCCATTTTGTCGGAGTCACAAAATGAATGCAAGAAAGTAATGGATTCAAAAGGTAGTCGAGTCGCTTATTATTGGTTTCGTGCATAAGGGAAAACGCAGCATAACAGAAAAGGAAAAGCATGATAACAGAAATATGCTCAGAAGGGGAGAGATTGTCAGAAGAAGATTTCTCAAATCAGCAGCATAAGGGACGTAACGTCTCCATCCTCCTGCCATTGCCCTTTGAGCTTCTTCAAGTGCTAAGTCGCGAATCTTCCATGTGGATCGTCTTCCACGTCCGCTCCTCCTTGGCCCAACTATCGTGCTGGCTGCTGGCACCGGGCCTCTAGAATTGGAGCCCAATGGATCATTGTGCATTTCTGTGGACTGAACACTGACATTGCCCGCTCCTTTAGAATTGACCTTGTGCTTGAGGTCAAGATGAAAAATTATTATGGTAATTCTACTTTAAAATTAAATATATGTTAATTATGTATTTAAGTATTGGGGATATTATACATATGATGACCTATACGTAATTTTTTATTTTTTTCATTATAACAAAACATAAAGTAATATGGGAGAATTACATTGAAGTTTTATATAAAAAAATTAATTATTACAAGATTTATTGATAATTGATTGTGTTGTTAATATAATTTAGTTTAGTTATCAATGTGCTTTGCAATAATTAATTTTTTTTGTGTAAGACATGATTGTAATTCTCCCAAGTAATATCCTCTTTTTACAAAATATCTACAAAATATTTTTTTATACACCGTATGTGTAACATATGTTCTGCAAATGCACCGTGCTACCGTCCGAGTATTTACATATCTTATGCAAATACAAAGTATTAATAATAAATAAATGCTTACTCGTGCGTGGCGAATCTAGTTCGTGCGATAACTACGTCTTTAATTAAAAATTCATTGCGACACAATCGCACTTGATGAGGACAAAATTTACTTCTCTGTTTTGAAAAGAAAAACATATTTTTAAATTTTTATACTTTACTCACATTTACTTTTAATTTCTATACTTTTTTTATATGTTAAGTCCATACATTTTTATTTTTTATTATTTTATATCCCTACATTTTATTCATGAAAAAAATTAAAGTAATAAAAAATAAAAATATAAGAATTTAAAATATTTAAAAAAATATAGGGATCAAAATTTATATTTATTTTTTTAAAAAAAATTAATTTCATGTTTTTATAATAAAAAATACGATAGCAAAAATATAAAACTCTTCTTTTAATTTTTTGGTAATTATTCCGCAAAAGAAATCTGACAGCGCACAGAACAGTTGGTTCTCTCTCTCTCTCTCTCCTCTTTTAAAATAAAAGTTTTTGTTGTCAAGCAAAAAAGAAATGATTGAGCCCAACCGTTGGCTAAGAAATAAGAGTCAGCCTCATAGGTTTTTTTTTTTATTGTGTAATTGCTTTTAACTTTCCTGTACATATTATATAGTATATAGTTTTATTTAATGAATCTTCTTTCCACTAAAAAAAAAAAAGACATAAGAGTCAGCCCAATCAACGTATTAGGTCTAATAGATATAGTGAGCATATAATTTAAATTAAAGTCGGTAATTTAAACTAAGTTCCTCGACAAGGCAGCCTGAATCAGTCAGAAAAATTTAAAGTCATGTCCAAAAAAATTATTATTTAATGTCTATCCAAATAAGCCCAAATACTGAATAAAAAAAAAATATTTTAAAAAATATACATAATATAATTAATATTAATTAAGTCTTTATGTTTTATGTCATTCTATAATAAAATACCATATATTTGGGTGCATTACTATAGTTATTTTTTAAAAAAATTAAAAATATTTATATTTTCATTTTTTATTATTTTAAATTTATAAAATATTTTAAAATAATATTTAAAATATGTTTTAATATTAATTTTTATATTTTAAGACCCAATTATTTTTTAAAAAAATTTTGAGTTCTATACATCATTTGAGTGTCCAAAAAAATATATTTTATATTTTTTATAAAATAAGATAATTAATTTTAAAGTAAAAATTAAATTAAAAATAATTTTAAAAATAAAATTCGGGCATATATGAATTCTCAACTCTGCTACTAAATAAATATAATAAATAGAACAATATTTATGAATAATTATTTAATTTTCATCCATGCCAAACTTGATTAAAAATTAAGAATAAATTAGAGTAAATACTTTTTACATGTAGGACTTAAACAATACAACAAATTAAAGAAGAACAATTC